GTGGAACCCTAATTTCAGGTTTAATATAATAACCTAAGTAGAATTGATATGGAAGTATTGTTACATTTTCAAATTATGATTAAAAATGTGAATTATTCAAATCTGCTAATAGCAGGAGCTAATATTTTAAGATGTGAGTAATGAACGTAGGCGGGCCCTACCATCAGTTCCACCTCTCTACCTCATCTGTCTTCACAGTCTGTTTCCTGGTGAGGATGCCTTGTCTGCTGTATCTCTAGGTACAATGTCTGGCATTTACAGATGTGTGTGGAAGGAAGGCAATAAAGAGGGGAATAAAGTAAAGAGCAAAAGAAGGAAGAGATAAAGGGATAAAGGAAAGAATGACTAAACTCCAGATGTTCTCAACTTCTTCCTATACAATGTTCTCTAATCATAGCTTCCTCATCTCTCTTGCTCAGACCAAAGTTTAGACATATCTTTGTATCCCTTCTTTCTATCACATCCATATCCAATCTATAAGAAACTCCTGAAGTCCTTATTGTCAAAATAACCCCAGAGCCTAAGTCATTCTCACCACTTCCCCAATTACTTCCCTATTGCAAGCCACCATCTTCTCTGGCTTGGATAACAGCAATAGCGTCTTAATAGGTCGCTCTGCTTCTACCCTTGCTGCACTACAGTCTGTTCTAAAGACAGAGCCAATGCAGATCGTGACATTCCTCTGCTCACCGCCTCGTAATGGCACCCCACTTCCCTCAGAGGTAAAGTGCTTATTGTGGTCTACAATGTCCAAGCTAATTTTGTACCTGTTTCATCTCTGGTCTTCCTTCCCACTTTTCCCTCCCTCATCCACTCAGTCCCAGCCACACCGACATCTTGTTGATCTTCAAGCACACCAGGAACACGAACACTTCCATCTTAAGACCTTGCCGCTACATGTCGTGTTACCCCTCCCCCCTCAATCCCTACCCGCCTGCTCAATACTTCAGGCCAGTTCCCTAATTTTTCTCAAGTTTTCGCTCATGTTTCATTTTTCGCAAGTGGCCAGCCATGACCACCCTATTTTTCATTGCATCCTGACTCACCCCCTTTCCTAGTTCCTGCTCTACCAGTTGTTGGTTTTCATACCATGCCTTTACTTCTAACACATAATTTACCATGTGTGTTACATAGTTTACTACATATTTAGTCTCTCTCCCCCTAGTAAACTGTGAGCTACTAGTGGGCAAGGATCTTTGCATATTTGTTCACTGGTATACATATGTATATATAGAACAATGCTTTAGCCATGGTAGGTGCTCAGTACATTCTTGAATAATCAACAACCACCCTTTTCAGTGTCTCTCGCAGATAATTTGGCTTCACTGGCTTCCCATTAAGAGCATTGTTCTCCTCACCAAATCCACCCCTTCAGTCAAGAGGTTTAGCTAGGAGATGAGGCACATCGAGGCCTTCAGTCCTTTGGTCCCTGAAAGCTATGCTCTTGGTTTCTGGCTGCCTCATTCCCTCTGGGTTTAGAATAGAAAAAATGTAGGTTCAAACACCCACACACTTAATAAATATTTTAAAAGAAAGAAAGAATGACATTTTTTGGAAAAATAATGTCTTCGTTACTGATTGAGGTTTATGTCATGGCTATTCCTGCATTAGGGCAGTTTTTCAATAGGAGAAATCCAGAGGGATAATGGTAATGCAATGAGCCTATCCAAAAGTGGGATTCACAATAGCTTCCTATTATTACCTTGAGAAATTATAGGAAGTTCCCCGAGGATAAGTCCACATTTTGCTGGCCATTTTCTAGTTTCAGGATCATGCTTACACAGGCTGAAACAAATTGAAAATCTGCGGGAACTATCCCCTGTGAGACCATAGAAAAGCCAGAGGAGAAAAGATGGGAGTCGGATAGGGAGCTGAGCCACTTCTCCGTGATTTGAATGGAACCTTGGAGAACCCAAAGGAGAAAACACAGAAGTCCTGTGAGACCCCAAGAAAGGCGTGTAGGCCATCAAAGTCCACGGGCAGCGGGCCTTGGTTCTGTCTTCTCCCTTCAAAGAAAACAAACTTCTCACACCATAATTTGAGAAACAAGCGGACATTGTAATATAGCTCAAGCCCTTGGTGCATGGGCGTCCACAGGAGGCAGTACCACGTTTTGGTTCAGGTGTCCGCTCTGGAACCGTACTTCTCTGCATCCCGGCTGTGCCATCACTCGGGTCTCCTATCGCCAGCTTCCACAGCAGTAAAACAGAGCTAATAACAGCAACTCCCTTCGTATGAGGATTAAGTAAGAGAATCTACACAGAGCTTGGCACAGTGGTGCATGGGCCGAATTCAACAAAAGGTAGCTGCTGGTGCGCTGCATAGCTGCTGTAGTTGCCACCTTTGTAGAAATGTTAAATGAAAAATGGTGTTGGGGGGAGGGAGCGGGAAAGGAAATTACCTAGGACTATTGCCTGGGGAAGGACCTTGGCCACCCAGACAGATCCTTACAGAGTAGTATTTTTCTTGGTGAATGAACTGCAATATATACTCCAGGCTCTGCCCCTCAGCCATGCAGTCTTAGAACGGCGATATTGTCACAGTCCCCAAGTATGCTGACTCCTACTCTCAAAGCTTACAAGAGCCCTAAAGCCAGAATATCAGTTAATTCCTTAAGAGCCACAATGTATTTCGGACTGACCAGCACACATATTCTCCCTCTGTAGGCAAGTTCAGAAAGCCAAACCACCACATGGCATGGCTTGAGAATAGGCAGGGTTGCATAGGATAAGAATGTTTACTGTCTCCTGATTTTGAGGAGCTGGGACATGGGCGTGAGCAGTAGGGTCAGTTTTTTTCAGAAGGACAGGCTCACTCCCTGGGCTCAGGCACTCTGTCCCATGGGCAGCACAAGTTAAGTCTCCTTTTTCTAGGATTGACTTGCTGTCCACCTTCCGTTGAATGGGAGCCCTATGTCTCCAGATACGCTAACACCGTCAGCAGGTTCTCTCAGGTTCCAGCTTGGGGAGTCTCTTGAAGATGATTTTGCATAACCTGGGTCAGTCTCGTAACTTAATACTTAAATATGGTGAACAATTATACCTTGTTCATTTCCACGTTGCCTATTTTCTGGTCCAGACCCAACAAGCCAAAAATTGTTGGAAAGTGTTAAATACAAGCTGGGCCCAACGGGCTGAAGGCATGTACCAGTCCCTAAAACCACCGTTAGGATTGGATGGCGCACCAGCCTGGCTTAGGTCCCACTTGGCTTTTGTAGCCGCCTCCTGTTCACCTCCTCTGCTGGCCGTTGGCAGGCCAGAAAGTCTGGAGATGCTCTGAAGACTCTGTCTGTGGCTTTGGCATCTGTGAACAGACCCACTCCACTGCTCCAGGATCAGTGAAACCTCCTTATCATAGTTTTTCATGACACTCATACTTTTCCTTCTGTGTTATTACAAATGAAATTAAATCAGACTCCGTGCATATTTTGTTGCTGCTGTTTAGTGACTGTTTGGAAAGAAGGAATTGTGCGTGGTTTTTCACTGCTGTTCCTAACAGATTAAAGTAATGCATGGCACATACAGGGTTTGATGAATACGTATTAAATAATGAATGCCTCTTAGGACAGTGTTTCTCTAACTGAGGGTCACAACCTATTCATCATTATGAAACCAATCCAATAGGTCACAACCAGCAGTAAGAAAAGAAGTTGAGTACATTAGAAAATATGAGCATGCCTCCCACATATGGAATTACTTCAAGTAAATTTGTTTCAGGATGGCTATGTCTATATAACACAACATAACCCACACACAGGCACACATACTCACACACAGTGCACACATCACACACTGTAATCTGGCTAAGATGCCCTGTCAAGGAGGGTTAAGGGGGGGGGGGGGCCACAGGGACTGTTGTTTGAAAAAGCCTGTAATATCTGTAATAACTTTTATCTGTATAAAGAAAAAGTACTAGAATTTTGTATATTAAAATCTAATCCTAAGGTCCAAAACAAGTGTTGACTAGTGTGGGTAGAAAGACAGGGCTACATCTGAGTGTTCAGATGGGTGTGTGTTATATTTATCAAAAGAAAGTACTGATTTAAATGTTGATAAACACTGTTCTAGCGTTCTCTAAGAAATTGTTCCAAAAAGTGGTGTCCTAAAACCCAACCCTTCTATTCTGCATTCTGCACTGGGCTCCCTCGGCAGAACTGCTGGTCGTGCTATATGTGGTCTGAATGTGACTGATTGCATTTGGCTGGTTGTCTGGTGGCTGAGGACTCAGCTAGGATGACCCTACCTTCTGCCTCTCCACATGTAGTCTCAGGGCCTTCCTCTCTCTCCATGTGGTCTCTCCAAATGATCTCTCCAGCAAGGTAGTCAGACTTCCTTATCTGGCAGCTCACAGCTCCCAAGAGCATAAAAGCCAGGACTTCTTAATGCATAAGTCCAGAATGGGCACACTGCCAATGTTCCAGGCCCAGCCCAGATTCAGGAGAGGGGACTATACAAGTTGAATTACAAGTGTAATAGAATGTCATATTCTCTTTGGTCCAAACTGCACATTCTCCCCACCACACCTCTGCAATGCTTTGCTAATATGACCTTAAATGCACTCCCTCTGTTTTTTTTTTCCTCACCCCCCCCCACACCCCACTCACCTCTACTTCTTCATCTATTGATATCTTACCCATCCTTCTGGGTTTAGCTCAAAGGTCCTTCTGTGACTATACCCTTGATACTTCCCCTTTACCTCATACTGGAAATAAACACTCCTTTATTAGCACTCTAAGTATGCAGTACTCTCATTGCATTATGTCTATATTTCATATCATCCCTGGCATAGTGTTTTACACACACACACACACACAGAACTGTTTCTACCTTTCTAGATTCTAAGCTGCTTATCTAAAATTAGGTAGTCAGTAACTCTTTAAAAATAAACGGATTCTCTCTGTCTTTTAAATGACAACTCTAAATATTTACATAATTTTTCACTAATATAGAGATAGGTGAGATGCTTAAAACTGTTGGAGAAAAAAGTTGACATGGAGCATAAAACAACAATTTCCCTTTACATCTTTAGAAACTCATTTTATATACAGTTTTTTTAATATATGGGGTCTTTGTTTTGTGTTTTTCCCAAAGAGTATAGAGTTAACTTCTTAATAATGTGATTTCCTCTTTACTGACATGAAGAAGTTTAATGTCTTACCTTAGAAAAATATACACTTCAGCCAGCATATATTTTATGGAAATGATTGAAGAACCATTAGTCTTTATACAATAATAATATCAGTCAAATATATAAGCACATTTGAAATTGAGCTAAAAAAAGGGGGAAAAAGAGAAAGAACTCATGGACACGGACAGCAGTGTGGTGATTGCCAGGGGGAAGGTGAGTGGGGAGAGGTGGATGGGGGTATAGGGAGGTAAATGGTGATGGACCGAGCCTGGACTTGTGGTAGTGAACACACAATCGAGTGTACAGCTGATGTTGTAGAATTGTGCACCCGAAACTATAATTTTGTTAACCAGTGTCACCCCAATACATTTAATGAAAAGGGAAAAAACTGTATTTTCCCCCTGCACTAGCTTTGTACATTGGCAGTCTTAAATTGGGATTTGTGGGCTCCTCGGTGGCTCATGCCTTTCAGAAGGAAGTTCAGTGAACCTTCTGAAATTGCATGCGGAAATGTGTATTCATGTTCATATCTACATTTTTCTGGGGAGATAGTCCAGTACTCTCAACAGATTTTTAAAGCTTAAGAACCCCAATTATGTATCTATTATAAATCTACATACACTATTCTTATTAATAAAAAATAAGATATTTTTCTCTTTCATGCGTGACCAATTTCTCCTGGAGAAATTGGAGCTTTACATAAACCCTTCCATCTGTCTTTCAACTTTGTATTTTACTTCTAGGTAATACTAACAGTATGTTACAACCTCCTACTGGAGACTCTCTGTCCTCTCTCTGGGAACTTCACCAAGTAAACTTTCTTAAAACTGGGGGACTTGCTTCTCCACATGTGATCCCTGGACCAGCAGCGTGAGCATCACCTGGGCATTTGTCAGAAACACGGAATCTAGGGACTCAGAAGTGCAGACCTGCTAAATTAGAATCTGCATTTTAAACAAGATTCTTAAGCACATCTATATATATAAAAGCCTAAGTGATCTTTACGACTGGACGACCGCCCTGTAGCTATGATGTGCACTGACCACTAGGGGGCAGATGCTCAATGCAGGAGCTGCCCCCTGGCAGTCAGTGCACTCCAACAGCCAACCTCCCATGGCCAGCCAACCTCCCATGGTCCCTTCCCCAGCCAACCAGCCCCCATCAGCCCCAAGCAGGACTGGGTGAGATGGCCCCAATTGGCCCTGATCACCGGCCAGGCCGAGGGACCCCACCTGTGCATGAATTCATGCACCAGGCCTCTAGTTAAAGTATAAGAAGCCCAGGACCATTGCAACTAATACCTCATTTCCTGTTTTTTCACCTTTTAGGATTTGTGTTTTAAATTCTCTACACTATTAACAATTATTATTGGATTTCTGTTTTAATGTCACATTACAGTTTTGATTAAATCTTCTCTTAACTTCAGGATTTGCAAAGGTAACGGATGGGGAATTGGGTCAACTAATTAGTCTGATTATTAAATAATACCATCATTCAAAACATATGTATAGTTTCTGTAATTCCAAAAGAATTTTATGGTACCCAAAGCCTCTACTCTTTGTTTTAATGCCTGTTTTGTTTGTTTTTCTCTGTGTTGAAAAACATGTAGAGGGAGAGGCTGAAAAATCAATTATTATAAATGAAATAACTTTAACAAAAAGTGAAAATGCAATGATTATGCTAAATTACATTGAAAAAATTGGGTTACTCTCTGAAAAATTCCAAAGGCAGAGTTTTGCTGTCCCGATTTCTCATAATGGACCCAGCTAACTGAAGTACGAAGTCAAGTTTATATCTTTTCTGTTGTATGGTGAGTTACCAAACTATCTTTTTCTCCAACATTTGAATTTCATGTCTAAGAGTTTAAGGAATGTATGGCTTGGTGCATTTGATGTGGCACAGTTCCACATGTGAGGGATGGTGATTTGAATAGTATGATAGAAGTACGTGCCAAGAATAATTGGCTTCTGTATTGCAGAACAGCTCAAATACTATGTGTATCACAGCATGTAATTTGGGTGTACAAGATGCCTGTAGTTCAAAGTGCTTTACTCCTCTGCAGTGGCAAGTTGAGCTTCCTGTTGGCTGGCTCCTGTGTTTGCATTAAACAGCCCGGGTGCAGTTAGAAAGAGAGCACACATCTAGTAAGTGCATTCTCATAATCCTTCAAATGAGACAGACCTTAACTCCAGGATCCTTTCCCTCCCTGCCTGCCACCCGCCCTCCATCCCTCCCTTCAATTCTTCCTTCCTTCTACCGAGCATGATGCAAAGCAGTTCTTCCCCTGCTTACTTTGACTTTTTGGTCAACTTTCTTGAACAGTATTTCTTGCTATTATTAAGAATTACCTGAGGCTTCGCTACAACATCCAGAGTCCTAGGCTACTACGCTTTGAATCTGATTTAGTAAGCTTGGGAAGGAATAAGAGAACTTACGTTGAGCAGCTCAAGTGATTCTTATAATCAGGCTAGTTTGAGAAACACTAAAGTTCTCACATGTTAAGGCTTTGGAGTGAGATAACCCCATTTATAAATACTTGTGTGACTTTGGGTAAATTCCCTAAACTTTCTGAGCCCTGGTTTTTATGTGTAAAAGAGAGATATACTAGCTCACTGTATTGCTATAATTGCTGTAAATGCCTTTCTGAGGGTCTATGGTTTGTCAGGAATTTGAACATACATTATCCAATTCATTATCATGATAAGGCCTATGTGTAATAGATATTATGTAACAGATATGTAAACTGAGGCTCAGGGATAACTTTACATTTAGTAAGTGGCAGATTCAAATGTAGTATTAGAGGCCCAGTCTAGTACTTCTACTCTATATAACAACCTTTGCCCTTCATCATTGAGTCTGTTTTTAAATAATATCTACACCCCTACCCACACACACACATATACAGGGTGTCCCAAAAAATGTATAAACACACTTTGAATAATTATAAAAGGAGTGTTCATTAAAATACACTTAATTTTCTTAATAGCTATCAGCTGTTAAAGTGTGTATACATTTTCAGGTATCCCCCCAAAAAATGTATGCACACATTAACAGCTGATATCTCAATTGATGTTTCTTTTTTTTGTGTTTTTTTCAGATTCAACCCGTTGGAATTAATAATTATTCAGCGTGTGTATATATTTTGGGGGACATCCTGTATATACAAATAGCTATAAAAGTACACCATAACCTTGAGTTAATTTTGAGTAATCCAAATCATTTCAATGATCTATTTAATGAAAAACTACACAGATCGTGGTTCTCAAACTCAGATACATTAGGGGTCAGGTGGGTAATATCAGAGGACAGGCTGGCCAGCTATAAGACAATAAGGACTCATACGGACTATGGCAAACTGGAGGGAACAGCTCATCTGAAGGAAGCAGTTTCTGCTTAACTCCAGGCTCTTGTTGAAGTGCCAGGATGTGGGTTTCCTGTTGTCAAGTCTTAGCTTTTATAAGACAGGAAGAAATCCAAGATTTTATGGAAATTTCTCAATTTTTAAACTATGTGTGTGGCCCAAACAAACCACATCTGTAGACCACATCTGGCCAAAAGACTGCCAGTTTGCAGTCTTGACCTAATCGCCCTTAATTCTCCACTTCACTTGACCTGGTAAATAGTCCATTTAAGTGGCCGAGGTATGTAGTGGATCCTTCTGGTCAGTGTCTTCACAATATACTCAAATTTCAGGGACTAACCTTTAGTTTCCCAGGTTCAGAAATTTGATTTTCTCAGAACACAGTTAGATTGGGTGCCGTTACTGGTGCTCAAAACTCAAGAACTCAATGCAAAAGCCAGCATGCCAGTTAAGAAATGTATAATGAGGAATATGTTTCCAAGAACTAGGATGCCGTATTGGTCTCATCAGTTGATTCTTTCCTTGTAATTCAGCCATCTCGGAAACAAACTCCTAAGCAGGAGCTGCTTTTGTGCATATGGAGTCAGAACCTAGGAAATTAGGGACTTTAAGAAGTGTTCTTCTGCACTGGGTCTTAGAATCTCCCTCTCTTTATGATAGCCTTGCCACTGGCTTAAAATATTAGGACAGTGCCACTTTCTCAGATATGCCAACTACATGCTAAGTGTCTCCTTTTGTACTAGAGGAGTGGTTCTCAAATATATGCCCAGAGATTTTATTAAAACAGAGATTGCAGGACCTTATATCCCAAGGATTCTGACTCAGCACTTCTGGGACCTGATTATTTTGCATTTCTAACAAGTTCTCAAGTGATGTTGATGCTAATGGACTGCTAGATAGGGAACCCCCTTTGAGAACCACCTTGCTCCCAATTCATCTTCACCCACCACTATTGTCTGTGTTTCTGCTTTGATATACTAATATAGCAATATCCTCATTCTGAGTTTTTGAACCTGGATGTTTGGACAATTTTTAAGCAGTCCATTATTACATTCTTTTAATTAAAAATATTTGATTAATTAATTTATCAAAATCAAGATGCCATTGATTGTAGGACACATGTATTTGAGAGTTATTACACATGTGGGAAAATATGTGCTTTTTTTAGAATCACTGAAATTTAGTCAGTTAAGCCTCAGTTTTGGGTAATCTTTCCGGGATTATGTTATATAAAAGTCAACTGGGTGCCTACATTTAAAGAAAGGATTGTTATTATATCCTCTTTAAATAAACACAAGAATTTTAAGACTCCCTTTCCCAGTTCGTAGTGGAGAAGACACTGCTGCCACAGTGATCTATGGCTGACTTTGTAATCTAATTGAAACCTATTTTTATTGTATTTGTCCTCAAACTCAAATATGACCCTGCAGTGCCAGATCCTCACTTACGGAATGAATCTCTTTTTGTCTTATTGGATTGGTAGGGCCATGCACCTTTTTTTTATAGCTGATTATCAGACTCACTATTTCCTTGGCCACTCAGGAAAGGACAGTTAGGACAAGTGTTACTCAGCTGTCCTAATCCTACCTTGTCTGATTGTCATAAATTACTGTTCTTAAGAAAAAAGAACTTGGAAAATAATTACTCTGTTCATCTCAATAAGCATCTTTATGAATATGTAAAAGGATGATTGGAGAGGCACAAATTCTAAATCTATGCTCACCACTTCTAGTCTGTTATAGGAAAACCTCCTGGGGGTTCATTTATTTATTATTTTGGGGGGAAATCACTAAGTACAGTCCCTTAGTAATGTAAATATAAGGCCTGTTGACATCTCTTTCCCTAGAGAAAGTGTGTGACAAGATCTCCACCTTTTCATTAAAAGTTGCCCCTACTTTTGGTAAAATTTGAGGAGAGAGTAGACCAAATTATCTAAGAATTTTGGGAATCTAATAGGAGAAAAGAAATTGAACCTCAATTTCCCCTCTGCAATTACAAATAAAGGAAACTCATTAGAATGGATCAGGGTAGGGCCACGTAGACTGCTGTCAGGAGAGAATGCTGATACAACAGGCCCTAGAGGGGTTAGCACATCGGGAGGGAAAGGGAAGCCTGTGTTGCCTGCTCAAAGCCTGGGCCTAAGATTGTTGGTTGAGGGCTGGCTTTTGTGTCAGTGAGCCAGGGAGATGAAATCAAAGAGCTGCAATCTTGAAGTCCAAGGTCTGGCCATCCTAGATTCCATGGAGACATAAACCAGCAGAACATAAGATTTCTCAGGACCCATGGTCAACTATGAAACCACATAGCAATGGCGGAACCCTTTATGCTAATCAGCCACCCTCTCTACCTGAAGTTTAGAAGCAAGATTCTACTTTAGACTAAATAATCCCTGAGATTCTTGGGCAATTTGAATGAGGAGGAGTTTTCAAGGAGGGAAAGCTTGGATTTTCTCCTGAAAGAGCAGCTCAAGGCTCCAGTGATCCACTGGAAAAACAAAAGAAGTGGGACAATCTATACATTATGCTAGCCTCTGTGGACAAAGTACCAAATTCTACAAGATGAGTCACAGGTAGATTCTCAAAATTATTTAAGTCTAGTTAAGGAAAGTGACATTTATTCATTCAGCAAACTATTGAGTAGCATCTGTGTGTCAGAAACTGAGATCCACAGTGACGTGAACTAAAATAAACACAGTTCTACACTCATGGAGTTTTTTAAATTTAATAGAATAGGTGTGATAATGCAAGTACTTGTAAAGATGTGCTCAAATTTGTTTTCCAAGCTTCCCTGTCTTCTAGAACATGCTAGATATGCATAGCATAGTTTTACACATAGTAATTAACATTTCTTGGAGGCCTCTCCATAAATGAAAGAAGTCAGGGCATTTCAGAAAGAAGGGACAATATATGTAAAATCATAGACATACAGAAAAAGAGGTGACTGTTTCTGAGTAGCTTATAGTATATAGGGTACAAACAGTTAGAATGGCAAGGAGTAAGCCTTGATGTTAATGTAGGTTAGGATCGCCTCCTAAAATGTTTTGTTTATATCTACAGACAGTGGTGCACCCCCAACTGTGTATAAGTGTGGCTTGCTGTGTTCTGTCTTTTTGAGAAATCATTAGGTGAGTTAGTTGGGGCAGGTGACAAAGTAGGGCTGAGAGAAGAGGATCAATGGAAGCAGGGAGGGAGACCAGTTTAAGAGAGTATTCAGATGTTCTAAGCATGACTTTGTAAAAGAAAAATTGGCATCTTACCATATGCTGAGTGTTATGGAAAATGAAGAAGGTATAGACCATGATCTCAAAGAGCTTAAGACATAAAATAAGTAAAACATGAAAGCAGGAACCTAATAATAATAACTTTCAAGAAAGCATACAATATATGAGTTACCATCATGGACTGTGATTGGTTGAGAATATGGCTGGGAGGAGAGTGTGAGGATGTGACGATCATAGTCCAAAAAGAGATAAGAGGATAAGAGCAATGGCTTAAAAAAAAAAAAAAAAAAAAAAAAAGCCTCGAACATTCGAACCTCCTTTGTATAATGGTGGACTCTATTTTCAGAATGTCAATTTCAGTAGACACCATAATAATGTGTTTGTTTGTGTGTTTAAAAAGCCACCACCGTAAAAGACCTAGAGTCCCTCATAAAGTTCAAGTACCAATTTCTCTTCATGTGTGTGGAACATTCTGCTCTCCTACAAACAGCAATATCATCACATTGGACAACACAGCTCTCATTTTCTTGGTACTTTAGCGCCATATAAAACATGTATGTCACTTGTGGTAAGTATGGTGAATCTCACTTTGTAACCAAAGAGGGTAGATGTTACAGCTTGTGAGCAGTATGACCATAAAGCCTGAAGTGTGAGTCACGGGGTCTGACCCAGGTAGTAAGATGTGTTATTATTCATGTTGGTTAGCTGAGTTTCCTGGGCGAACCTCATTGGCGTTTGCTTTGTCAGTAAAAGACGGGATCTTTTCTGGTAGATCAGAGGTCTGAACTCTGCTCCCAGTTCTCTGGCTAATTGGTTCTATAGTTTGGGGAAAACCTTTTCATCTTTCTGCTCTAAGTTTCTCTAACTGCTAGGGATGACTAAATGCCCTCAACACATTTGCGTAGTTAGTGACCAATATAATTAAGTTCACTAAATGGATCTGAATTATACTGGGTGGTACCTCTCTAGCCAAAAGACTGCATTTCTCCACCTCCTGTAAAGGTAGGTGTAGCTAATGAAATGTACGCAGAGAGAGCTTCTACCTACATGACCTCCCTTTTACCCTGCTACTCTTCCTGCAGTATTGATGTTCATGGGATGGCTGGAGTACCAGTGGCCATCTTGCTACCTGAATGGCCTTGAGAATACCAAGCATATGTAAAGGATCGTGGAGAGAAAGATAATAGGAGCCTAGGTCTCCAGTGAAAACAGTGTCATTATTCCACTCATGGCCTATCTCTGGATATTTCTTAATATGATTCAAAAATAAACCTCTTATTGAAGCCACTACTAGCTGCCTAATTCAATTTCTAACCAAT